GGGGGGGCTGCCTGGCGGGCCAACGGGGCTTTGTTTTTTTGTTTTTTACTGGGCGTCGGACGCGCTCTCCTGGACGCAGTGTGGGCGAGGGAATGAGAAAGAGGGGGCGGAGAGGGCGGCTAGAGGATGGGACTCTGGGGTTGAGTCGCGATGGGGGGGCTTTTTGGGAGCCGGCGAGAGGGGGGACATGGCCCGCGAGGTGCCCTACGACCAGTCCCCCGGGCCTCGCTCTCCTCGCCCCAGTCTCCCAGCCGCATTCGTCCATCTGGAGAAAGGCCGAAGGCGTGGTGGTTGCTTGTCCCTGAGGCGCCCCCCCCCTGGCGCAAGTGTGGGTGGCCACCGCTTGGATTGTGGCGCCGGTCGAGATCTATCCCTGCTCTCCTCCCCGGGGCCTCACAGGATGTCTGCCAGGGAGATCCACCTGGCGCGATGCGCCCGCGCCCTTGACCAGCCTCTCTGCGCGTGCTAGGCCCCCCTCCCCCCCCCTTGGCCCTCACACCACAAGCCCATCTGTCCTGGCTGGGCCGCATGCGGGTGGCGACACTGCCGCGTGGGGGGGGGGGTCCGGGCTGGAGGGCGGGCCTGGCCCGGCACATCTGCCTAGCTGGGCGACGGAAGGGGGCCGCCCGGTCCCCTGGCCCCCCCCGGCCCCCGCCCCCCGCGCGCCCCTGGTGCGAAGGAACCAATGCACCGCTGGGCTGCGCTTCTGCCTGGCAACACGTTGGGGCAATTTTTTCTCGCACCACAGGGCCCCTTTGGCAGGGCCAAAAGCACGCCGCCCTGTCGGACTGGGACACCGCTTGGGGGAGGGGGGAAAGGGGCGCGCGCTCCCCGCGCGCTGGCCCCGCGTGGCGGATCACGGAGCGCCCCACAGTGTGGGCCGCTCGCCCCCGCTCTGGGAGAGTCTCTCGCTCCTGACCCGGGGCCAGGGGGGGGGGGGGGGGGGCGGGGCAACAGCACTGTTGCTATCCCCCCTTCCGCCGGGCGTGCACACCGAGGGAGCTTTCCGGCGGCCCCTCGCCTGCCCCGGCGGGGCGGGAACGATCGGTGCCTGGCCAACCCCGGCCACACCACGGAGGGGCCCGGGGGAAAGAGCGGGGTCGTGCCCGCCGCGGTACGCCCCACAGGTCTCCCCTTCCGCCGGGGGATTTCGGGCGGATTTTCACGTGAGAAGCTGCTTTGGGCGGGGCTCGAAAAAGGGAATGGAGGCGGAGGGTATCGATCCCCCTGCCTGCCGCATGCTAAGCGGCCGCTCTACCATTTGAGCTACGCCCCCGTAATCCGTCATTCCTCTCCATCTTTCGGAATAAATATCTTCATGGTTTGTTTGTTGTTCGTGAAACGTGTCTAGTTAGTCTCTCAGAAGCGCCCGAACAATGGACCATATTCAGGAGGGACCACGGAGGCGCGGCGGCGGGGCAGCGGGGCGGAGGCCGGGCGAATGCGAGCAGAAAGAAAACACATACCCACACACATCCATATACATATGTATATCCAGGACACGACCCGGGATATGGCGGGAAGTGCGCTCACACATGAACACCGGGACAAGCACACGACAGGAGCTATCTATGACAATGTATATTCAGGAGGGGGAGGGGGAGGGGAAGGGAAGGGGGGAAGAAGAAATGGACAAAGGAGAGGGAAGAGCCGAGCCACGAAACGCAAGGGGGTGAGAGCAGGGCAGGGAGCGTTCGCAGGCGGAGGTCCCATCGCGCCCGGCATGCTCGCGCGGTGCTTGAGCAGGAGGAGGAATGCAGGGGGGGGGGGGAATGTGGGAAGGAGAAGTCGCAAGGTGTTCGCACAGCAAGGCGAGAGGAGGGGGGAACGCGGCACATGCATGCCGCACTGGCACGCCTATTCTTGCATCCAGACAACATGCCCACACGTGCACATGCCGCGGAGCAGGAGAGCAGGGGGAGGAAGAAGGGAGGACCTTAGCGGAGCTCGGCAATCAGACCAAGGACAAAGTCGGTGGAGGAGGAGTTGCCACCCATGCAGCGAGTGCGGATCTTCCCGTCGGCAACGACCTTGTAGATGGCGTTGTCGATGTTGTCGGCATAGGAGCTGAGGCCGATGTGACGAAGCATCATCGTGGCACTGGTGAGCATGGCAATCGGGTTGGCCAGGTTGCGGCCCTGGATGTCGCGGGCAACATGGCGGGCGCCCGGCTCGAAGAGGGCAATGTCAGTGCCGATGTTGGCACCGGCACAGACGCCCGGGCCGCCGATCAGCCCGGCACCGATGTTGGAGATGATGTTGCCGTAGAGGTTGGGCATGACCATGACATCGAACTGGTGGGGCTTGGCGACGATCTGTGCACGGGGGCCGGCGGCGTCGGGGCGGTGTCGGGGCGGCGCGGGATGGGTCGGTGCGCGAGGATGAACGGGGAGGCGGGGAGGCGGGGAGGCGGGGAGGCGGGGAGGCGGGGACGGAGGGTGAGCGACATGGAACAGGCGATGGGGGAGGGGGGGCGAGGGAGAGGGAGAGGGCGCCAAGAGGAGAGCCGCAGCCTCCTGCCCCGGGCCCGACCGCAAGAGGCAGGCAGAAGAGGCAAGAGGCCGGCACGCGCGACGCACCTGCATGGCGCAGTTGTCAACGATCATGGAGTCGAAGGCGATCTGGGAGTAGAGCTTGCCCATGTCCTCGCAGGACTTGAGGAAGAGCCCATCACCGAGCTTCATGATGTTGGCCTTGTGGATGGCGGTCACCTTGGAGCGGTTGTTCTGGCGGGCATAGTCAAAGGCAAACTTGGCAATGCGCTCGGACCCGTGGGCGGTGACGACCTTCAGGGACTCCACCACGCCGGGGAAGGGCTCGTGCTCGAGGCCGGAGTACTCGCCCTCGGTGTTCTCACGGATGATGACAATATCGACATCCTTGTGGCGGGCCGGGAAGCCGGGGATGGACTTGCAGATGACCAGGTTGGCGTACAGGTCCAGCTCCTTGCGGATCTGCAGGTTGAAGGACTGGGACCCGGTGCGCAGGATCGGCGTGAAGAGCACGCCCTTCAGGCCGACCTTGTTGCGGCGCAGGGACTGGACGGCCTCGGAGATGTCCACGTTGCCTGGTTGTGGGGGAGCATGGGCCGGGGGAAGGGGACGGGGGAGGGCGCGAGTGTTGTCAGCAAGGACAGCCAGGAGGACAGACGGGTGCGGAGGGAGGAGTGGCGACAGCGACAGTGGCCGCGGAGAGGGGGGAAGGGGGGGGGGGAGAAGTCATGTACCAGTCTCATCGGGGACGAGATCGACAATGTCGAAGACGACCGGGACCTCGGCGGCCTTGAAGATGGCGCGCACGGAGTCGGTCAGCTCGCGGCCAATACCGTCACCCGGGATGAGGGTGACGGTATGGCGGCCGCCGTACTTGGTGGTCTGTGTACGCGTGTGCATGTGGGCAGGCGAACGAGTCAGCAGAGGCGAGGGAGGGGGGGGCGGTCTGGAAAAGGGCCGGACGGGTGGCGAGAGGGGGGGGGGAGGAAAGGCCAGGGCGGAGGGCAGACGCACGTTGAAGTTGCGGTTGATGCTGGGAGCCTTGCCGGTGGTGGGAGTGAAGACGTCCGAGCCGGCGGTGGCAATGACGTTGGGCTCCTCCTCCTGGGTGGTCGAAGTGGGAGTGGAGTAGAAGCGGGCCTGCGTTGCATGTGCGTGTGGGAAGGGAGGGAGGGGGG